CTTAGTCATGGAATTGAAGACTATTGTGCAGTGAAGAAGGCATATCCAGAACATCTGCGAATTTCCCCTGTGTTTTAGTTTCTCTTTGAAAACTGAATAAAAGGGTGAGTCTCATTGATTTGGGTGTTCAAACTCTTTTTGTACTTTTTGGACAGTTACACACACCATTTTTTTTTTTTTTAAGTTTTGGGGTTGAGCATGATGTGTTTGTTCTTCATCTTAATTATTTCTACACATTTAACATTAAGATGTTGTTATGTTGTGCGTCATGAGTAATTGCCATCTCCATCCCTGCGTCTCTTCCTCACATCTCTCCAAGGAGCTAAGATGCAAGGAAGTGAAGTGAGGGAAGCAACGAGCCACGTTAACCAAATGGAAAGCCACCACCCCACCCCCCCACCCCCACCCCCAAGAACATGCTGGAGGGGTTACATATCCCATCTGGCTTGGGAACGCCTCACAATCCCACAGGAGGAGATGGAAAATGTGGCTGTAGGAAAGTGTATCTGGGCTGCTCTGCCCCGTTCGCTGGCACTGCACCCAGATAAGAAGCATAAAATGGATAGATGAATCATTTGCATTTTGGCCTCACATCCACAGTTAAACACTGAAAACTGATCTTTCTGAAATGCTCTCAGACTGGATATACTTCAACCAGTGCGGATGGAGACAACAGGACTTTTTCTGCGATCAGCTTGAAGGAATATTAATATTTAGTGTATGAATTGTATGTATGACGCAGCTGTGTGTTGCAGCAAGAGGAAAAAGGGTTTTCCTTATATACCCCCATTTCAGCCTCGACACTTTTCACCTTTAAATCCCGCTCAAAACGGTTTGCTGTGTAGAAAGTGGAATTGGATTTAATATGAAAAAAAGAGGATTTAAGAAAGTGTCAAATAGCAAAGACAAAAATCTTATCATCCCCTCAGAACATTTCACACCCCCGCACACAAACACAACCAGGAAAGAGGCTTGGCAGTCAGTCAGACACTTTGTGTGTCTAATCCCTCCCGTTTCTATCTTAAAATCAGGACCTAAATACTTTTCCAACATCACTTGCAAAACATTTTCTGAAGCTGTAGCACCAATTTTTACATGTCATAACAGCATAGCGTGAAATATCTGGGGCAGCTTGAGTTGATCTTAAATTTGGCCGCTTCATCCTCACTGACTGGTATTGGCATCCTCATTTGAATATAATTGCAAGTTCATTAAATATGTATTAAAATTGATCCCGACAAAATGCTGTAAATGTCATGGCCTGTCAGATAGTAAACACTTTACCTGGTTAATCCCTCCCCTGCCTTGCCTCCTCCTTCATCTTCATCTTTCTAATCTCTCCCCTCCAGTTTCACTCTTTTATCCTCCTCTCTCTGCCTGACCTTTACCCACCCTCTTACTTCACTTTGCTCATTCCTCTCATCCCGCCCTCCCACAGGGAAAAATGCTAATATGCAATGAAACACCTTTTTTTTCCTCCATTCCCTCCTTTTTCTCCTTCATCTCTCTCAAGGCCTCAATCAATCATCTATCATTCTGTCTTAATCTTCCTGTTTGAAATCCCCTTCTCCGTCTCCCTTGTTCCCTTCCTCCTGTGGGATAAAAATACTGTTTAGTTATTGATAAACATACTGTAGTTGCACATAAATATTCACTAGTTCTGCCTCTCAGTGCAAAGGCAAAAGCTTATGACTGAGAAAACCCCCAAGGAGCAACAAGCGCACGCACACGTGCAAACACACAAACACATGTGCGCACACTCGCTCGCACTTGCTCGCACATGCGCACGCGCGCGCACACACACACACACACACACACACACACACACACACACACACACACACACACACACACACACATAAAAGCTAACTGTATAAAAACTTAAAAACAGACCCCAGAGCCCCGTGATGTTGTTAAGAAGATGCTCGGCACAAGATGAAAGGCAGAATGGATTTATGGGGAGGCGGCGATGCTTCTCTATTTGGGGATGTAGGGGGTGGTGTGCGTGCGTGTGTGTGCGTGTGTGTGTGTGTGTGCCTGTGTGTGTGTGTGTGTGCCTGTGTGTGTGTGTGTGTGCCTGTGTGTGTGTGTGTGTGTGTGTGTGTGTGTGGCATGTGTCTGTGTTTGTGGACCTCCTATGGAGCCTCTCATAGGTTCATATAGCATCTCATGTTAAATGCTGGTTCATGAGCTTCTAATTATATTTTAATTATAATTATTTAATTATATCTAATTATATTAGTTAATCTGTGTTATGTTTGGTACGTTTGGTACGTCAAAGTAGTAATTTCAAATTTTCACTTTTTTGCAGAGAAGGCAAGAAATGCCTGCACAGTAAATATGTGGCTAAAGTCAGCAGGTAGTTAGCTTAGCAGCTGCAGGGGCAGACAGCGGAGATTCAAGGGAGTCACTGTCTGAGTCTGGCATGTAACATGTACGGATTAAAAGACAAAATATAATATAATAATTTGTGAGCTGTTAAACAACAATAATAATCTTTGAGTTAGTAGTTAGTTTTAGTTTAGTTTGTTGGTGGATTCTGCTGTTTGAAAAGAGTCTGTTTTCAGTGTTAATGCCGAGCTAAACTGACCAACCACTGGCTGTACTATAGCTTCATATTAACTGTACAGATTTGAAAGCAGTATCAGTCTTCTTATCTTTCAGCCAGACTGCGAATAAGTGTCCTTCCCAAAATGTTGAACTATTCTGTTAATGCTGTATCTGCTTTTCTATATTTTATTGCAAGTTTTTTTTATATGCATAATGTGACCTAGATTGAAGCTAGAGTAGCCTAATGGTGCTGTCAGACCAGAACTGATCAACCCAAATTTACCACCAACCAGTTGCTAAAACAGGCGGGACAACCAAGGCAAGCTAAAAACAGCACAAACCAAGTTGTGAATTATGCAGCGTCTCATCAGAAGTTTTATTTTCATTACGTTCTACCATCGTCCTTACGCTGGAGGATAGGAACAATCAATACTTCTGAAACTGAAATTAGTTTCACTATCGCACCTTGAGGTACAAAGTGGTATTACAAGATAGGACAAGCCGGCGCTAGCTGGTTAGCATGCTAACTTTGGTAGATATCTCTGCAACACAATAAATAGTCTTCTTTGCTGTAACGTCAAAACTGTAAATTTTTCACATACTGTTTGATAATCTTAGTTAATTTTTGAATGTTTTAAACTTCAGTACTTATATATTGCCCCTTTAATAACCCACTAAGCCCTAGTCTGGTGATTTACACATCAAAAGACAAACAGTCAGGCTAAAACTGGGCTCAATTTGGTTGAAAATTACCCTACTTAGATGAGAAGCATGTCCTAACGACAGACTGAAATATAGACACTGATGCTGTTGAAACAACTGTTACATGTGACCTAGATATCTAAAAAATCTTTTACTTTTCAGCCAGATTTTGCCCAGTTTTCACCTGTCTTTGCACCAAACCACAAATCCCCAGATCGATGTTTACGGGCACATTTACATGCAGGTGTAAACAGTGTACAGGGTTTTTACAACCTTTTAGTTCAGCGTCATTAGGAGTCCAGAGCTGCCAGTCGCAGACATTAAACCAGTAGTTTCACAGCTTATTTAACTGTATAGATCATTCACCCCTCATTCCTTAGCTGCATAGACTCTCATTCTCTGCAGCTCTTCAGATAATCTTCCACTACCCTGCTGCTTTGTTATTGGTGCAGATGCCTGCCAGCGCCATCGTGGCAGAAAGCACCATGCCTGATGAGATTAGTACTCCTAATTTAAGAAATGAAATACATTTAGAAGAATTCCCACAATAAAAGGGAATACTTATCCAGCCAGGTAATCTTATCTTTTCTCCTGCAAATTTAAAGCACTGACAACAAACTGAAAAAAATGTATGTTGTAGATTATCTCCCTCTGCTTTTGTGTTTCAATACTATGTAAATTTTGTCATTACCATTAAGATTTCAGACTCGATCCAGACAGATTTTTTTTCTTTTTTTTGCACAGCTCCAAGTCTTAATGTGTGCAGTGATGCTGCAGTTTTGCTGGTGCCTTCTGTACGAGACTTTTATTCAGCAGACTTGAGGCCAGCAAATTGACAGCTTCAAGACAAATTTTGTCCCCTTCATGAAAGATGCTCGCGTGTCTGAGTGCAGGCAGGAAACTTCAGCTTGGCATGCGTGAAATCAATGTTTTCACACCAAAGGTTATGTGTTCCCTACAGCAACCGTCTTACACTGTGTGTGTGTGTGTGTGTGTGTCTGACTCTGTGTTTATGTGCGTGTACCTGCAGGCCCTTTGCTGTCAGAGTGCGGGGGTTGGCCACATAAGTGTGTAAGCGTCCGTCCACTCCTCTCAGCAGCGGCTCAGAGTCTCGGACGTACTGCAGGTCTCTGGATGTCCGCAGGTCCACCACCTCCATGGATTGGCTCACGTTCTGAACCTGACAAACACACACACGTTTGATATGAGTGATTATTGTTAGCAACCCACATGGCCAGAAATGCCTATGATTGGTTTTGGCTGTTGTCTGACTGACTGCCACCTGTTATTTGCTGCCAAACACCTGTTGTGTGCCTGACATACTTAAAGGGTTAGTGCACTAAATTCACTAAATAAATAAATAAATGAAAACATGTTTTCTTAGATACCTCTTATTGTATCTAGCCATGCAGGTAGTTTTGGTTTTATCAAACCAGGAGATATCCATCTATGAGATTTCTGCCTCCATCCCATCACGATTGCGACAAAAATGGAGTTAGTAGTCCAGATATTTCACTATGAACTAAAACGATGAAGGAGCTGACACCACAAGATAGCACAGACGAGTGCGCCACAATTGCACCAGCACTTTAAATATACCAGTTAAGCTGCTGTATCATGCGGCGGCAGCTGTGGCTCAGGTAGAGCAGGTAGTCCACTAATTAGAAGGATTGTGTTTCGATCCCCGGCTCCTCCAGGCTTCATGCCGGTGTATCCTTGGGCAAGATACTGACCCCCACGTTGCCCCTGATGGCTGTTCCATCAGTGTGCGAGTGTGATGTATGAGTGTGTGAGTGAAGGGGTGAATGTGGGAAGTTTTGTAAAGCGCTTTAAGTGGTCAGTAAGATTAGAAGAGCCCTATATAAGTTTAACATTTACCATAAATGTGTTTCTGTTTGTAAATATGTGACTCGTGCGTCGGAAGTGTCAAATAAGTCTGATTGTGAAAGAGGAAACGCCATGGCAGAAACTGTTTCCAGTTACAGTGAGGACTGTGGATCATCCAAAATAAGGGAGAAATTGGTTCTGGATAGACACACTGCTACTGAATTTTTTAAATGTAATTTTGTAAAGCTGTGAGCACCACAGACAAAATCCCTCTCGCTTCAGCTTTAAAGGGGAGGTGGCAGAAGTCTCAGGGACAGATGATAGATAAGACAACAAAGAAAACAAAAGTGTGAGAAAGTGTGTTTTTGGGTTGTATAGAAAATACATTCAAGGTGAAGTGACCCTTAAGTACTGCAAATACCTCGGCTCAGCTACATGAGGCAAGGACACACATCATATTTCTCTTTGAGGTAGCGTCTCATCAGATCCATTTAAACATGAGATCCTCACCTACAGTATGTTGTGTTCTAAAGAAACAAACACTCCCACGCTTCTTCTCATTAACCATCCTGAGATGCTACGAGATACTTCAAATTTCTTTTGATATTGAACGGAAAAACAAGCATGGGAAAAAAAAAAAAAAAAGGAGCTATTATAAAAATGACCCAGATATCCAAAAACGACATGCAAACAAACAAACAAACACTCATGAAAAAGCCCACCCACACATCTCGTTGAGCACTTGCTGGGGAGGCCGGAGAAAAACGGATAAAATCACACACACACAAATTCACACTCACAGCAGGATCTAGGTGTCACTTCCAGAGACACGCTGAGCTAATTAAGATTCATAAATACAAAACCTCCCAACAGGAACAGAGTGTGTGTGTGTGTGTGTGTGTGTGTGTGGGGGGGGGGGGTATTTTTTGATGATGTTCATGTACCTTTTTGATTTCTCCCTCTTTTTATGTGAACAGAGAACAGGATGTAACACCAGCATCGAATGAAAAAAAAAAAGTTATAATCATGATGTTGTCTTTAGTGTGCGGTGACTCACTCTTACCTTGGTGGGAATACAGGATGTATATATCCTGATGTGTGAGCCTCGCAGTAAAGCATGCTTTGAGAAATGTTTGCTGGCCGGATGGTGTTCAATAATTCATCATCTTCTGTCACAAATCACTTTTATTCCTCTCTCAGGACACAGATACTGTATACATCGGCAGAAATGTGCTTTACGCAGTCACACTCACATCCTCATATAAATACACACGTATACGAACACATGACCGTCTATGTGGAGCATATGAATACTCATATACAGAGCTCCACCCTGCAATATAGAACAAACTGTGTCTTTCCCACCCATCTGTCAGTGTTTCCTTTGAGTTTAAACTCTTTTGGCATGTTGAGTGACTGGGAGTCTGTAGAGGATACAGCTACTGATGTATCAGGGATACATCTGTCAGTGAAACCTGAGTGTGTGTGTGTGTGTGTGTGTGTTCATGTGTGTCACTGCAAGTGTCAAAACAAAGAGACAGTCCAGTGAATATTTCATTCCAGAACGCTGCCTTTCGCCTGTGCTGCATCGCAATGCTGACCACTGAAACGTGCAGGTACGCACTCAAGAGTGGATGCGGCGCGCACACACACACACACACACACACACACACACACACACACACACACACACACACACACACACACACACTCACACACACACTCACACACACTCGCACACACACTCGCACACACTCGCACACACTCGCACACACACACCTGTTCAGTCAACAGGCGTAGTTGTCGACTCCGAGGGTCTCGTTTGCAGAGGTTTCGTGCGGGAGCGACCACTGTGCACACACATCTGCCGTCAGGATCTGAGGCTGTGCTGTACACCTGCCAGCCCTCCTCTGAGCCCGGGTACAAACCCTGTAAACAAACAGTCTGTGTTAATTAAGACAATGCAGGAACATCACATGGTGGGCTTTTAACAGAGGAGACTGTCAAAATAAAACACAAAGTTAATCATGTGGGGTTTTTTTTTGTTTCAGTTTAGTTTTGTGTTTTTAATAGTTCACATTTTTTGAGGATAACAATGTGATTTCTACTAAATTTGAAATTCACCGCAAATGCATTTGAGTCTGAAGACAGTTTTACTGAAACTCCTCAAGTAGCCACTTGTAGACTTTAAGGAATAACATCTAACAGTGCTAATAAAAAGTAAGAGAGTTCATTTATTTTGATAGACAAGTTAAAATGGAAAAAATGTCCCAAGCTCCAGCTTCTTAAATGTGATAATTGACCGTTTCTCCAATTTAAAGTCATTTGAAATGAAATATCTTTGGGTTTTGGATTGTCACCATGGAGTTTATCAAATTGTGATGGACATTTTTTATATTTTATACACTAAATAATTATGTGACTAACTGAGAAAACAATCAAGAGATCAAGAGATGATGAAATATCATCATTACTTGCTGCCTTACTGAATATAAAACCCACTCCTTTAAAATATACCTTTCTATCGACAAGATCTAAACAATGCCCCCTCCCATCAGATCATTGTAAACCAAATAAGAAACCAAACAATGCACTCTCATGCCAGTGCTCCATGAACACTAGCAATGTATATTATGTATTATTTTGTCCTGAATCAAATCCCTCAGGAGCTGCTTCCCTTCAGGCTGCATACAAATGCCCTCCATATTGTTGTGTTCAATATCATGTCAATATTGTGTTAAAAAAAACACACACACAGTAAGGTCTAGGGGTAGAGCATGTGTGAGATGTACAGTAATGACTGTAAAATGTCCATCATTTGATATGGTGTTGCTATAAAAAGACATAATTTAATATTTCTAAGACAGTAAGGCAGCTGTGCTTCTTTGATACAAAAACGTAGTCACATTTAAAACTCTTTTTTTAAATCCTTTGAAGTGTTTTGTGTTTATCTGTTTTTGTGTAAAAGTGTGTTTCAAAATGACCCAATGAGTCATACCACTGAAGCAGTTTCCGTTCCTGTGCATTTTATAATACAACACACATTTCCACAGCATCTCAGAATGTTATTCAGGTCAGGCTGTAGTCAGAAAGGTAAAAATATTTTCCTTTAAAAAAGGTTTCTGTCTAATTCCATCTTGCTGGTAAATCTCAGAAGGGTTTCAGGAGCTCTCGACTGGGCTCTTATAGTGATTTAAATGTCCTTTGTTTGTAAAAAGGAGAGTGCATAGGCCTACTCTTTGCACTTTATTGTATTTGACTGCACCATAGACATCCGTGTGTAAATTGGATATTTCTCATTTGCAGCTAAAATCAGCTGTGACATCTTCCACATGTCTGTATCCAGAAATGCTAGCAGCATAACTGGATAGTTTCCACCCTCTGCCTCCACAGCCGGAGCTGCTGTTCTCTCTGGCAAAAAGTCACGGGCTCCCCAGAGCTCCCAGAAATCTGCACAAAAAATATTTCTAACCTATTCACAGTCCATGCTAATGCAGGTCTTCGCTTCTATTCATGCTGCTACTATTTCATTCACATATCTAATGCATATTTAATCGATATGTTTTCTTGAGACAAGTGTTTTCTTTTTACCCACGATACGCGACTTAAATTTTAATTTTGTTACTTCATTGCACGTTCAGTGCAATATTTCTATATTCAGAATAATCTGAATGACATGGAAGAAAATTACAGAGGTCCTCATTTAGGTTGCAAATGCATACTTTATTGTTTTGTTACATTAATATTATCATATAGTGTTGAAATACAACTAAATTCATACCAATAATATCTTTCATCTTAAGTGAAGTGATCATTATTCAAAATAGTAAGCAAGTTGCTGAAATCCAAGATGAAAAATTCAGTCCTACCAAGGATACTTCTTGCTCTTGAATTTCAGGTAAATTAGAAACTTAGATCCCATGGATGTTAATTTTTAATGTATTGTTTTTGGACTTGACATGAATTTTTATATCAGAATTTCAGTAACTGAATTTCAGCAATATGAAATTTTTTGTGTTAAATTTCTGAATTTAAGAAATTACAAAAGAAAAGAAAAAAATCCTCTCAGTTCTATGAAGCTTCACAGCATTTCAGGTCATTGTTTTAGATTTATGGCCTGAAACTTTACTGTTTAGATTCACTCTAACCACTCTCATGGCATTGTCTTCGTCCGCAGCAGGTACAAAAAGGCTCTGAAAACCAACAGCACTCCAGCTCTTAACAACTAGTGTCTGAACAGTCGACGTAGTGAAGTATTTAGCGGCTAAAGAGGCAGATATTTCCCTCAGGAGTTGGTGGGGACCAAAAACAGAGCTAAAAGGAGAGTGAATATGGTGGGAACTAATGACTGTATCTCTGGATGCGTAAATAAACAACTCTAATTCATTCGCCTTATCAACACCACATAAATTCAGATAGTTTGTAAAATATCTCAATACTATAAATTGAGAAATACTTAAATGTCAACACTCAGTATTCAGTAGTTTCTAAGATTGGAAATGTTATTGCCATTATTTTCTTCCACACAATTATTTTTGTAAATCTTTTGTACTGTAAAGACAGATGGAAATACTTGAATGAGAAGAACATGCATTTGATGAGGTTTATTTTCAAGTCTGCAGTACACAGCAAGACACATAGACTAGACTAGTTCTAAAATAACACCTCTGTTGTTATAATGACTTGTTTCTTTTTTTAATTTTTGGGGTTATTTGGGACCTCATTAGGTAGTGCTGAGGTGACAGCAATTGTTCCCTGGGGTCTGAACATTTGGACCCAAGTCACCACAGATAGCACTGAGATCATGAGCTCATTTTGGTGAGATTTAACCGAGTCCTCAGTTTGACCCACTTAGTGTTAACATTTTAGCACAATGTAAAAGAACGGCTGAGCTCAACCTGACACACACCAGCTTGTCACAGTAATCTGGCTGAGAAGCTGCCCTACAAACCCTGAAAAAGAATAACGACAAAGGAGGATGGAGACGCACAAGGAGATATGGGGAGGGGAGGTGGATGCCTGGAGGGAAAAATCTGATAAATCAATCAGCAGGGTTTGGTGCGGTAACCTTGAAGTCCAGTTAACAATGAAGCTGACGGGGGAAGGGGGGTTTAAAAGAGGAGGATGTGAATGGGATGAGAATTGTAAACATCGGTTGCACCCACTGCTCGTTGTAATTAAACAAAGGAGGACATACGGCACCTAAGGGTTCATTTCACACAAGGGAAAAATGATAAAAATCTACTCAGGCAGCTCAGCTGATTGTGATCAGTGCAAATAAAGAGAGAGTACAGAGCTAATAAAGCTGAATCCCTGCAAGAATTCAACAGAGACGGTGGAAGTAGGCAGGAAGGTAACATACAATACTGAAAAAGTGTGTCTAACAGCTTATTTGACTCACAAAAATCTAAATGTCTGACATTGTCATCTAGCTTAGTGATTCCCAACCAGAGGTACGTGTACCCTTGGGGTGCTTCTGCAGTTGCCAGGGGTTATGTGGGAAGATTGTGGAGTAACTCAGCTCATTTGAAAAACAATTTATTTAAAAATATATGTCTATATACTGAGACAGCTGTAACACCTGAGCACTGTGTTGCAATTGAAAATCAATGAAAACTAGATAGCAATCAAGCAGAGAAGTTGCAGGAGTAAGCTAAAAGTCATGAAAAAAATAGTTCAAACATTTAGCTAAAAGTAATACATAAACCAGTTCAAATACTTTTCTGAAAGCAATGGATAATGGAAAAAGTTTGCTAAAAAAGGTTATGTATAAACAGTTGAAAAGGTTAGCTAAAAGTAATCGAAAAATGGTTTGAAACGCTAGCTGAAAGTATTGGATATAGTGTTGAAGTAACTAGCTAAGAGTAATGAATAAATGGTTTGAATAGTTAAGTAAAAGTACTGGATATACAGTTGAAATACTTACCTAAAAGTAATGGATAAGCATTTCATATAGCTAAAAATAATGGATAAAATAGCTAGCTAAAACTAAAACTAACGGATAAATGGTTGAAATAATTAGTAATAAAGTAATACAAAAAACATTTGAATTACTTCACTAAATGTAATGGACAATGGTTAAAATGGATAGCTGGATGACTTATTAAAATAAGATATAAGCAGATGAATAAACTGTTGAAACTGTTCAGCTAAAAGTATTGGATAAACGGCTGATCAGAGAGATCCCAAAAGTAATGAGTAACTAGTTGAAAATGGACAGTTGACAGTTCAACTGTATGAGACAAATATTTCAATATCAATTATTATATAATCAATAGTTTTAAATAACATCCAGTCTAAAATCAATTCAAACAAACCATTTGGAAAAAGATGAAAGGGTACTTGACTTGATGGCTGTGAGGGCACATCAGAAACAAAACGTTTGGGAAACCCTGATCTTGCTCACAATTATATTCACACATCATCAAACTGATCTGCAGTATCGTAACATTTTAAGATTTTAGGACTTCTCTCTCTATTGTCTCCTGAAGTAGAATGAGGTAGCAGCACTGCACCTCTAACATCTCCATCTGTCCTCAGCCAGTTCTTGCCAGTGTGTGTGCGTGTGTGTGCGTGCGTGTATGTCTGTGGTTGTGTGTAGGCGTCTGCTTGCATGAGACTGCATGCACTTTGCTGAACTTGCAAAGTCCCGCCACATAGCAGCTGTGAGCTGCTTCTCGAGCCAGAAAGCCAAACCATGCAAAGCCCAGGCACACACAAATACACAAACACATACACACACAATATATAAATACATAAAGAGTTAAAAAAAAACCTATATGTGCAGTGGTCCAGCATCTACATGTCTGGGGTTGCCAGGGTGTTGCTAGGGCAACAAATTACTGGCTGTCCCATGGGTGAGTCAGCCTTCCCCAGGAGAAATATCACCCCAGTAAGTCAGAGAAAGAGCAATCCTATTACCCCTCTGTGTGTGTGTGTGTGTGTGTGTGTGTGTGTGTGTGTGTGTGTGTGTGTGTATGTGTGTATAGCGGTGGGTGCATACTGTATATACGTTCTTTATCACTCACATTAACAGAAAAGGTTATTTACTTATTTATTCGTGCTATTTATTCTTCACATTTACAACCCACTGTACTCTTTTTTTTCAGATTTTGTTCTAAATCTGTGCATCTGAGCATCTTTTCTATTTCTGTCTCTTCTTTGCTCTATTTTCTGCACCAATTAAAAGATCAAATATCTGCTGCATGCAGCCTAAATGTTCCTGGCTGATTTGACTCTTCTTATCCCTCTAATATTAGATATTGTTGGTGTTTTGCTGCCACTAAAAAGCAGCAGTTTACTTTTTCAAATACAAATCGTGTCACATCAGAGTGATTATCATTATAATTATAGGGTAGTAATATATACAAATCAGTTGATTGAAGAATGTGAGGGTACATTTAGAAAACAAGATATCTAGTTGAAGATTGACAAAAAAATTGTCAGCGCAGTTTAACCAACTGAGTATAGATTTTAAACTACTGATGACAAAAAAAAACATTTTTGTTTTGATAAAAGAACTTCATACAGTATATTCATGTGTATTCATAAAATGTATATGTGCATTATACATACACTGACGATCCGCTCATGTGTGCCCTCAGAGGAGATGATGGTTCCATTGAGTCCGACCAACGACGGCAGAGTCTGGGACATCCAGTTAGTTACCATAGCCATGGTGCTGAGCACCGCACCGATCTTTAACATGGGAACACTCATCCTGACACACACACATTCACTCAGCCCACACACACAAACAGAAACTCTGGCTGGCTCTTACACGCAGTCCAAACTGCTGACAGCAGTCATGCTAAAAAGAGCAGGTACACAACATGATGCTACAGGTAAAACGTTGGGTGCACGCTCAACAGTTCTCAGCTAAAGAATCCAAATACAGTGTTTCTCTGATAAAACCACAGCCAGGATTGTCCCACTGCTGAAGTCCCTGCTCCTTCACTTCCACAGGTTAGAGAATAGATCCTGGAGCACAAACCGCTCCAGATGCCTCCATGTGCAGACGCATCCAAAGTCCGAACATACAAACATCCAGCTCAGGCGGCAGGAGATGCTCCTGGAAACAGCTGGCTTGTCCTACTGAGCAATGTGTGTGTGTGTGCGTTTCCTGGACCCCTTCCTTCGCCTGGCAGTAAGACACTGTGGCTGAGCCAGCGTCGCTCTCTCATTTATCCACTAACTCCCGCCCTCCCTCCCTCCCTCCCTCCACCCCCCCCCCTCTCTCAGACACACTCCTCCATCTCTAACTCGCTCTCATACTCTCTCCTATTCTCTCAACTTCTTCATCAAATGAGCATGTTCTCGTCTTGAACAATGTCTGCTTAAATGAACAAGCAGATTAACATAAAATATTGAATAAGGTAACAAAAGCCCATTCAACATTTATCCTCTTTTCTTGCTTTATGGTTTCTTTTCCTCTTCTAATCATTTTCCTCTCTTCATTTTAAATATTCATCTTCATTACAATCAACACATTCCTTTCTTTTCCTCTCTGTTCATTCTCCTGCTCTTCTCCTTTATATTGATTAAATGCAAACGCCCACATGAAAGCACAATGCTCTGGATTGACCTCCCTGGTCTGTGTGTTTGAGAGCTTTGTGTTTGAGGTTTCTCCTCCGTGTGCATTACACACTGATGCAACACTGCCACCATGTGGCCACCGACGCCACTCCCAACATCAATCTCTGCAAGCAGCTTCTTGCCACATTTCAAGATCAAAACCTGAGAGGAAGTACAACATGTTTAGAAGATGCTTTACTTGATCGGTCTGCAGTGTTTCCATGGAAGCGACAAACTCCCAAAATAAAAAGCAGCCAGTGTGCCACCTCTGTATCTCTGTCTGCTGCCAGCACAGGGACTGCAGATCAAAAGCAGCTTGTTAGTAAAATTTGGTATAAAGCAGAAGCTTGCCCCAGGTCTATACTACATACTAATTAGATATGGTACTATTTACTAATTGCCTTCGTACAGTTTTTGTTACTGGGTTACTTACATAAGCAAAAATGTGAACTACTCTCCTGTTTGTCTTTTATGATAATAAACAGAACATCTTTGAGTTTTGGATTGGTTGGACATAACAAAACATGATGATCATCTTCAGTTTATCATAATGAGCATTTTTTATTAGTTTCTGATATTTTATTAACAAAATGATGAATTGATAAATTGATTAAATAAATGGTAAATCAATTCCTGGTAAAAACCTGGAATAGTGGTACTAGTTGGAACACTGCAATTTAAAAAATCTAAACAATCAACTAAAAGGTGTCGAGTGTCTTCAGTGAAATGTTAGGTTAACACTTGTGTTGTGTTGACACTGGGTACATCTCAATTCCCTAAACTGAATCCACGTTTCCTGCACCGGCCTCTTTTCCTCACGTCTTTCACTCTCCCACTGAAGACGCGAGGAGAGATGCAGGGAAAAGATGTGAGACGTCCTTTCCTGTGAACCGTCATCTCAAACAACGTCTGCTTCTGACAAGAGCTGGATCAGCTGTCACCCGGATTTTAGAGTTCTGTGGCGATTTTTGTTTGTTTGGAGTTTGTATTTTCCGATTTAGGCACTGTCTAAAAAAAAATGAAGATGCACAGTTTCCAAGTTGGCACTGCAGTGTTTTTTTCTTCTTCTTTTCATTGAATATCTTCAACAAACATCTGCACATTTACAGTACATCTTGAAGATGAAAAAATCTTCTAATGAAAGACCAAAGTTGTTTATGGTTTTTTTGTAAAACAGAATTAAAAACTTGGGAGGCTGGTTCTTTGTCTGCATACTTTGGTTTCAAAGTCGGGTGATGTTGTGATGTAGTATCATATATGTCAAGTCAGCTGCAGTGTCCAAGCACCAACATATTTCCAATAAAGGGGTGTGTCAGTCACTCCTCAGATGTCTCCCCTCGCTCCTCGGAGCAGATATAAGAACTTTAGGACGGCCTTTAAGATGGAGGACGGTACGATTTCTGGGTCAAGCAAGGATTGAGGAGCAAGGAACAATCAAATAAGGGAATTGGGATGTACATATTGTTCAACACACCCCACTGCTTTTTTCCTTTGAAGTCTTTTGAATATAGTTCTTCTTTTGTGCAGACCTCATTAAAACCCAATATGTATATAAGTACTGAGGGGAACTGGTCCTTTTGTCACAAACTGAGCTCGCCCACTTGATGAAGGTGACAAATTGGAAATGACCATAATGAACTTTTATTACACCAAATAAGAAAATATATCATGTTTTTGTATGCTATATAAACGTATAATACATATAAAAATATTCATTTTGTTTGCCTAATGTCATTCCTACACTATGAAATGTACAGTATGTTTTCCTACGACCTATCATATGAACAAATGTGTTATAAAACTCAATAAAACAAATAAAGAAATCCAGATAGACTTATTTGGGATTTGGGAGCGTGGGAGAGTGTAAAAGTACTGTGATGCAATGTTAAATATGTTTTTTTTAGGTGTTAAAGAGGACCAGGGGTGTCCAAGACCCCCTACAGAGCATTGCTGTTAATAGCTTATGTGTGACAGTGTTTCTCATGCAACTATATCAAGATGAGTGTCTCTAGTGCAACACAGCTACAAAAGAACATGGCTGGTCTGTGCTTCACACCCGGAGCGGTTTTGTGTCGACAATCTAACTAACCAACACTAAATGTTTTATTGTGCCTTTGTTCTCAACAGCGGTTACATGATCATGCTTTCCTATCTCTGTAAAGAGCCCTGAGGATACACATGGATTATACATAAAACACCCCTCGGCGAATACACAGAACTGACATGAATATTTCAATCAGCAGCACTTAGGGGTAACACAACTGTCGGGAGATGCAGGAGCACAATAGAGCTGACATGACAACTGAGTGGTGTGAAACACCCTCGGGGTATTCATGGTCGAAGGGCTCAGGTAGTTCCCTCTACGCATTTCTAGGAAATATAATAATATCTTTTCTTATAGAACAAAAGCAAAGCAAAGTTGCAAAACACATCACAGAACGATGGAAAAAAACTAAAGATCTAAATAATCAGTCAAAACAATGAGCCAGAGGAAGTCTAACAATAAAAAGTACAGATGATAGAGATTTCTCTGAATGCAAAACTCAGTAAAATAAATTTATAATACTGTGATTTTAGGAGTAACTGGAAGGGAGACTCTAGCCCGTTTTATGCTGTGGACCCTTGAAGCATTTAATTTCTTTGGACACAGTGTAGAAGGGACTCAGAAAGATCAAGGGTGAAGGCAAATGGAAATGTTCAACAAGACATGTTTATGGTTTAGATATGAAAAAGAGCCAAAAAGAAAGTGCTACACACTATTTGCCCAAGTGCACATTACTACCCTAAACTTCACTTTTTCTGTGCTTTGAAGTCCAGCACAAATAATTTAGTTGACAGGACTCTCCATGTGAGATTATAAATAACATTCCATCAACTCTCTTTTTCTACATCTGATGTGAAGTTGGAAAACTTTAATCATTTTGGCTTGTCTGACAATGACACACTCCGTGTTTCAATACAGAGATAAAGAGTTGGAGGGGTCACAGTATCTTCTTACCTTACAGGAGTAGACTGTAAACAGCAGCTGCAGCACCCAAAGAACTTCAGGTTGACCCATCACCATCCTTTTCCCTCAGGTCTCCCTCGTCCTGACCAAGGTTTGGCTCACCTCAGGCATAAAAAAAAAATCAAAACACGCAGTGACCCTGCAGAACACTTTCGAGACTATGACATCTACTTCAGGTACCACTGGGGACTGTACACTTCCTTTTCTTAGCCTCTGTGTTATGAATTACTGTAGTGGCTGGGCTGCAGTGACCGAATCCCCTCTGGCAGTGGAAAAAGAACACAGTCCTGGTGTTGGTTGCATGCTGAGGAAACCCGCACAAGCATCAACTGGAGAGGACAACTGCCTTGAAGAAGGTGAGACAGGGGGTGTAGCGAAGGAGGAGCTGGAGAAAAGGATGATTATCTGTTACGTCCACACAGGCACTAGATACACAGTTAGTTAATGGGTTTGTGGGTGTGAGTGACAGATTGGATGTGAGGTAGTACTGTTGGTTTTTAAACAGACTGTAGCTTCTCTGGGTTATTCTAGTCCATATTTGACAAGTCCAGCAATAGTGGTTTTTGATCTAGACCTGGTCTGATGTGGTTTGAAACCCATTTTCAAATTTCAAACCTTATTTTATTTATGAAAGCAAGAAAGGGAGATTTCACATCTTTTTTCCAGACAACACTGGACCAGATCAAAACCACCACACTTAGACCTGTCAAATCTGGACTACATAATCCCAGACAAATTAAAGACACTTTCCATCTACAAACTTTGGAATTATTTTATTGAATATAACATCACAAACTCAAAATCTTAGTCATCCTAATTTGAAACAATAGTCTTTGACTTGTTTTAGATAATCTAGTCCAGATTTGACAAAGCTGTGTAATAGCGTTTGATCTAGACCTGGTCCAACGAATAAGGTTTTCACAAATTTTAAAACAGCATCAAAGCTTTAACTTAAATGTCTAATACCCTTTCACAACAGTACGAGGTGCACAAAATGTGAGTATGAAGTATCTAAGTTTTCTTTGCCACTTCACAGTTTCTTGCCAAGAGCAGGTGGTGCTGAAAGTCCCTTGCCAGGAGCTTCAGCCACATCTGCATTTACAATACAAGAGGTTATAATAACACCCTTTGAACAGCGCTACGTCTTCAGGGCAGCCTGGACTCTACAGTGACTCGCTATTGGAAAGTGACAACACAGGCTGGCTGGTCCAGGGCTAGCTGGTTAGCATGCTAACTTCAGTAGAAGAAAAGAAGTGATAGAAATAGAAGTAAAATAAAAGTTAACATTGGCATTGATTTCCACCACTGGAAACAACTCTTGGTGGGTTGAGGAATTACGTTTAATGTTGAACTAGAAAAGTTTTCTTCTAAATTGGTAAATAAACATCTGTGAATGCTAACATTGGCTATGTAGCAAAACTTACACAGAGCTCCTAGCTTCTGCGTCCAATTTGTTTTTTTGCAATCTTCAGCAGTCATAGTCACCTTTATATGAGGCACTTCATTTCTCTGTCTGCAAATGAAAGCTACTATACTTCACTTTA